TCTGAGGCCAGGACGAGCAGCACTGCTGTGACGGGCTGTGCTGGGTCAGACAATCCTGGCCCTGTCCTGCCTGTACAGGAGGTCGCTGGGCAGGGGGAGGGCAATGCCCAGGGAACGTTAAAAAGAGCCTGGCTCTGGAGGAAAAGCAAGGTTTGAATATGAATGACTGCTAATTATCAGGAAAAGCAGGTGCCATCTATCATCACAATCAGCGATCTGTCAGTTCAAGTGTCACCGGGACGGATGCATCTTCCCTCCTCCTATTCATCTCCCACGGTCTCAGTGTGCCTGAAGAGCTCTGCACGGGCTGGGACACGGCCAGACCCTCCTGCCCCACGCAGGACAGGCTCCCAGTGCCAGGCTGGGCTGTTCCCAGTGCTGTGCCGCTCGCCCCGTCCGGGACAAGGCGGGTGCACCCGTGCCAAGGGTTGCGGCACATCCCAGTTCGGGTGGCTGTGGCACAGTGCGGTGACATTATCGAGGGACTGGGTGACGTTGGCAGCACCCACCAGTCCCCCTGGGTGACCTCAGTGCCCAATGGCAGCAGCAGGAGCCCCTGGAAGGCACAGGAGCCATTTAATTACACAATTATAAATGCCTTTGGCCTTTTTATCTCACCGAGGCTGACAAGCACCTCCAGCATCAAACAAAGAGCAGCCGTTATCGCTCAGCACAGAGGCTGCTCTGGGCAGCAGCCACCCCTGAAGGGGCACAGACAAAAGTGGAGGAGCTCACTGAGTCAGCAGGTTTGGAGCCGTCCCTGAGCCGCTGCTGCGGCACGGGTACTGCTCAGGGAGCTGGCGCTGCCCTTTCCCTGCCACCTCCCAAGCCCCAACAGCAGGAGCAATGAGGAAAGAGGAGCGACGGGAAGTTGTTCAGTGGTTTCTGCAGTTGCATTAAAAGGCCATTCCTACGAGCCCTGATTCATTGGCAGGCCAGGCATCGGCTGTGCCGGGAGGAGTGTGGCACAACTGCTCACAGAGCTCCCTGCAGATGAGCACTTTTGGTGTCAGCTGCCCCCAGCATGGTGGCAAGCACCAGCTCCTGCTGGGCACCTCCTCATGTGCCCACAAACCCCTGGTGCTGCCCTTGCTGTGCCCGGTGTGGCAGGGGCCCC